AGCGAAAGAAGTGGCTGTGGAATCGGCATCAATGCTTCTCTCATTGACATAAGTGAGTGTTTCAGAGGCAGTTTTGCAAACCATTAACTTCCCCTTATGGCTTGCTCGGCTCCAGTGCCGTGCAGGAGGCTGAATATTAATGTGTATACCTGTGTAGCTGTGAAGGCCTACAGATGGATGTATTGTGGCGTTTTAGTTTTTTAGCTTTTTTCTTTTTGGACCTTTATTATTAAGATGCAAGTCTGCACAGTTAATCGTTCTTTTTCTTTTTTCTTTTAAAGCTTGAAAGGTTATAATATATCCAGTAGTTTTGGATGACATAGCAGCACAATTTTTACATAGAAAAAAACAAGCGAAAAAAGGTATCCTATTTCATTTGTAGAAGGGTTTTTTTCTGACAGTGTGAACGAAAGGTTGACCTCCAATCTGTACGTGGAATATTTCCTATAAAATATGATGACGTTTTAAAGTTAGCTCACCTGATATTTAAACATGGAGTAAGAATAAAGTAATATGCTTTATTGCTGTGAGGACCTCAGCCAAATCAGATAGAACATAAGCCAGACACAGTAAATTTGAAGGAAGAATTTGGAACTCTTTGGTCCAGACTTTTTCCAAGTTTTCTGTTCAAACGAGCACATCCCAACAGGAGGCATTGGGCTGCAGATGCACTGGAAATGTGAGGGACTATGTCGTGGGGGACCGCTTTCAAGAGCATAAAAGAGGCAGTGCCTGGCAGTGCTCCATGGAAATCGCCATGTTCATTATATAATGCTGCAGAAAAACAGACTGCATGTATCCATGTTAGCCAGAAGCAAGCAGGTAGCCGCGTAAGGCCACAGGCTGGCAGTAGAGGCAGGAGTTTACAAGTTCAAGTTATCTCACACACGGGCAGGATATTCTCCGGTTTGTTTGCTGACACGTTCATGGACTTTGTCTCATCAGGTGACGCTCCGAAGATTTTACTAGTCAGCTGGGCGGAAAATTTGGGGCTTACATTGTGGACTTTAGCGTTCCCTCATGCCACATCTCTGGAGCATCTCTGGAACGTTTCAGCTCTCTGGTGCATTTGAGAAAACAGCCATGCACCACTTTATCCATTTCAAATCTGGGATGACGTTTGTAGCTTCCATTTCTTAAGCCTTGTGTAAAGTGAATGTTCAGATCTCTTCTGAATGTGAGAAGGTAATGGTTTGTGGACAATTTTAAGTGTTTAGAAAACCCCAAGAGGGAGAATTAACCCAGTTTCTTTTCTTTTTTTTTTTTAGAACTGATCAGAGGTTTAATCCTGTTGTCTACATAGACTCCTTAATGCCAAAGCAGACAATCCCTGAACATATACTGTATGAAACTGATGAACAAACAGTTCTGCTCTCTGCTATTTTTGCTCGACTTTACTCTACAAAGCGTGTAATGAAATTCTTGCAAACATTAATGTTGATTGCATAACGGAAATATGAATTGTTCAGTGAGGGTGCTCATTAGGCAGGTTATTGCTTTCATTATCGACATGGATAGGTTTTCACATTTTTAAAAACAGCAAAACAGAAATAAAAAAAGAGAAGAATCAATGCTATTTAAGTTATTTATTAGCCTTTGTTGTCTAATGTTTTTTGTCTCTTGATTGTGTCTTTTATAAGTAACTCATAAAAGATAAAAAAATAAAAAATATATATATATATGCTTTCAAGGTTGTTAGTCATAGTGTGGTGGCTTTAACAGGGAAGCGTAATAAGTGATATGTAAAGTTGATGCAAATATTACTCATGCATATTACATTCTGAAATTAAGGTTATTGAAATATTATCTGATGTCTAAAGGCTTTGTTTTATTAAATTGTGCTGAAATATTTGATGCCACCGATAAATAGTGAGATAAAATTCATATGCTTTGTGCATTCTCGCTGTCTCTGCTCTGTCTTCCTCCCTACGTCACTCCTGCTTAATTCCTCCATCTTTTATCTGCTTTTTGGCGCTCCTCTCCTCTCTGACCTCCTCCAGGCATATCCTACTCCATCTCCTGCCCCCCACTGTTATCCTTCATCTTTCTCATCATTCCCCAACAATCCCCTCAACTCTGCTTCTCCTCCTGTCTCCTTTCTTCATTGCATATCTCCACCTCGGCCCATCTTGTCTCAGGAGGGAGGCCGCGTGCGCGGAGTTGATTAGACTGGAGCATTAGAAAGTTCAGAGCACAGCAGAACAGAAAGTGGTGTCTCGCCGCCAGGCAGAGTGGAATCAGAACGGATGTGCCTTTGCACATGAGGTCGCTGGCGATGGATTTTCAGGGTGGTTTCAGTGCATTGGATTTCTGGGAGTGTCCTCGGAGCAGCCAGAGGCAGCCATGCGGAAACTGCAGTGGTCCGGTCTGAGCCAGAGCCTCCCCAGACACAGAGCGGGTCTCGCACAGACGCAGAGGATGAGGTGCCGATTCTAGTGCTTTGAAATAATTGGGGAGAAGATTTTCTTGCTAATTCTATTTAATTTTAGAGACAGATTAGTTCAAATCCCAAACACTCTCTTTCCAGAATGAGCGAAATGGACTGATACTGCACAAATGTGACAGTAAAGCCTTGTTTTGATATTCATCTCATTCAAAATGCAAAGCAGGGGGGGTGGGGGTTGAGCCCCCTGGTGTGGGGATGTCTGGAGTAAATATTAAAATAAAAAATGTGTGAATGGAACTAAGATCTTAAGAAGATAAAAATATTTATTATTGCATCAATTTATGAGATATGAGATGATGTCGTTAAATTTCTGCCACCCATCTTTCAGGGAGGACATTAAATGACCAAAACATGTCACGCCGATGCGGGGGTGACCCATGCCTTGAAGGCTACTCTGCAGCACTCTGCAATTCTTTGCTGCTCAGCAGCACAAAGAATTTATGGCCACCCTGTATGAAATAAATCGCCAGCCAGGCCACTTGTCTTCCGGGCACCGATGACGATTGTCCACATTCCTACGGTCAACCAGCCCCTCACCCACCTCACCCATTCACATCTGTGTCCGTGCACTGTACACGACCACATGAAGATTGCCAGTGGGAGCAACCATACGGATTCTGGTCGCACCCGCTACATGTACAGATTAAAAACGAGAGACACTAGCTGACGCGACTGTTTGTCTCGTCGAGTTTACATTTGGCCAGAGCAAACATGTGACACCGGCTCGTAATTAATTATGATTTTAATGCGGTCCGAGGGGGCTTGTATGCGAGCCTGCCCCTCCCCAAAATTTCCAGACACATGCAACAGTACAGAAACGTGTTGTGGCGGAGACGTCAAGGCAGTGGCACAGTGCGGAGCTGACAGTTTCCCTCAGCCTCCGGTGACACCAAGGGGCCACTTGCTGCCAGTCAGCATCTCAGGCTTTTCTCTAAAAATCGCCCGTTGCCGTTTGTCGCGTGCACACTTTTGTCGTACATTGCTGTTTTTGTGAGTGCACACAGGGTGCACGGATATGCTTCTGCATTGTGTCTGTAGTTATTAGCTATAGACCAGACTCCCACCAACTTGCACCCTGATTTATCTCATGTAGTGTGTGTGTGTGTGTGTGTGTGTGTGCACGACAACTCCAATCAAAATTCTTCCTGCATGTCTACCGGCGTCGATGATGCTTTACCTGCTCCCGCTCTCTTTACCTGCACAGCCTCATGGCGCCCCCGTATCTTCTCGCACAAAACACACAGACACACACACACAAAATCCATGGCAGTTAAACCTGCCCTAGCTAGCCAACTGGAGGTAATTCAGCATAGATTGGCGGACACATGCCATTTTACTGAACATGGTGCATAGCCCCCCCGAGCTTTGCTCTCCAGCAGAGCAAAGAGCGAACAACTAAGGAGACCAAAGAGAGGCAATGAAAAAACAGGTGAAGAAAAACTAAGTGAAGCAAAATGGCAAGGGGAGGAAAAGAGCATGCAAAGGCTGCTGAGTGCTTTCCTTTGCAGTTCTGCTGCACTGAAAAACAAACTGGTTTGACTAAGTACCTGTGCACGGTGGGAAATCTATGCAGAACTTTTTTTTCCGTACGGACCAGCATCAAATGTTCTGTCTGGTTGTGCTTTGTTAGCACATATCTTGGCACATCAAGGTGGGGGTTTGCATTATTTTCTTACCTCAGAGGAAACTCTTCTATTCATCTCATTTAAAGAGAGCATGACCTTCCCCTTACTCTTGACTGCTGTTATGATTTATACTTAATGTCCTTGTGTTATTCTTTCCGGCCAATGCAGTCTGGACTACAAATGCGGCACGGACACGTTGAAGAGTGTCTGCCTGCCGGCTGAAGTAGCGGGGCATCTGGCCTCCGCGTTTGTGTGTGTGTATGTGTGTGCAAGTTAGGGGTTGGTGGGGGCAACAAGTGCGCGTGTGCGCGACTGTGTGCGCGTGACGCATGTTGACAAGGTAGCCCAGACCGGTCAGCTCTCATTAGCGAAAGAACGAATCCCCGAATGAGAAGTGCTGTGACTGGCAGGACTCTCGTTAGGAGAATGCACACACACACACACACACACACACACACACACACACACACACACAC